TAACGACCCCACAACGAAACCCGCTGAAAACTCCTCATTTCTATCACAAAATTCACCTTAACATCACAAAAATCCACTAATTCAACAATCCAAATTCGCCCACAAATCATGCGAACACTGTAGACTTACACGGCTTCCTGCTCGTCTCCTTCTCGCTAAATACCGGAGTGTCCGGAATGGTCTGTGACCGGAACACGTGCAGGTGATGCTTCTCAATCGGATCGGCCATATCCGGATTGATTGGCTGTAGACTCTCCACCAGAAACCACGTGCCACGACGGATTTCCATCTCATCATCTGAACCTATCTCATTATTCCATAGCAATCCTCAACTCATTGTCCATCTCTAAGCCCCGAACCAATCCCCCAACCCTCTCACTTCATGTAAAATCAAATCCTAGTCAACTAATTCTCTGATACAGATCAGATAAATCACTAACCTTTCCAATAGATCGCTTGTATCATCGTCATACCATCGTCTGCAACTGTATACAAGCCATCCATCACAGCAATTTTATTCGCTGTCAATGCGCTATTGCCGGATAGATGCTGTGAGGTTTGCACGTCCAAATCCACACCAAATTTGCTACGCCAGTATACTTCCAACATCAACGAGTCACACCCTTAAACGAAATAAAACCATTTTCAATTCTTTCCATAACATGCTCACTTTTTCATATTCCTATTATGACCACATTTCCCTCTATTTTTATACCCTGATTCCTTCCCACTGCTCATAACCACATTCTTCATATTCTCCCAAAATTTTTTAAACTGAAAAAAACACGATTTTCCCCCAAATATCACGTCAAATTTTATTTTTTCCCGAGTTTCAGATTCAACTCCTGAATCCGAAAATCTGTGGCGAAATGACCAGTGCACCCCCTCAGATACCTATTCGCCAACGACTACTCTAGTCACAGCGCCAACAATTGCCCTAGCCACTTCGCCACACTCCCCGTGTCTGCGCTCTCGCAGACCCCGCCCACCTTTTAAAACCCACTTGTTAACAAAATTTGCTACGAACCGTCGTTTTACAATTAATTTATGAATTTACTTACTACTAATCACTTACTACATTACTTCTTCAAGTAAGGCACAAACGAGCTAAACAACGCGACCCACCTGCAAACGGTGTCCACTTGGTTTCGACCACTTTCCGTCGATAGAACCACCGCACTTCGGAGCATTTCAGCTCGGTGACTCGTCGTTTCTTTGTACGAGGTGGTACAACCGGTGGTGCCGCCTTCTCTTTAGTAGCCTCTGACGACGGCACGAGGGCATCTGCCGACGGCATGCCTGCACCTGCGGCCTTCTTAGTGCCAGCAGCCACCA